GGGATAGCAGGGTGGGTGGTGAACGGAAAAAAAAAATTAAAATTTTAAAAATAAAATCCTTTTTGGAGAGAGGAGGTGGGTGGGTTGGTGAGGGAGGAATAGGATGGGGAAGGTTGAGAAGTAGTTTTGGAAAATGTTTTCCCTTCACTTGATAAGGAAAACATTTTCCTCCAATTGGAGGAAAATGAGTTGATAAGGAAAATGTTTTCCAAAAATATTTAAGCCAACCAAACATGGGAAAATTGAAAAATATTTTTCGAAAAATGTTTTCCTTCATACCAAACACACCCTTAGTGCTGAAGTTTTTAGAAATGACCTAAATAACTTGTCACGACCCCGATTTCCCACCCTCGGGAGTCGTGATGGCGCCTACTATTAGGAGCTAGGCAAGCCAACTACTTATTATCTCTTTTAGCAAACCTCGACATTAATAAAAACAATGTAACATTTAATAGAAAAGCGGAAGTCTTAAATATAAATAAACGGAAAACAATGCGGAAGTTCAATACAACTCTACCCAAGAACTGGAGTCACAAACTAAAGAACGTCTAGAGAATGCTAAATACAATGTCTGGATAAAAACATAATTCTGTTTGTTCCAGTACAAAAGATAACAAACTAAAGTGAAGATAGAAGAGACTCCGGGCCATGCGGACGCCAGCAAGGCTACCTCGGGATCTCTGGACTGAAGTCAGCTCCCAAAACTCCTACTGTTGTCCAAAAGCTGCTCCGGCACCGTGATCTGTGCAAAAAGATGCACAGAGTGTAGCATCAGCACAACCGACCCCATGTGCTGGTAAGTGCCTGGCCTAACCCCGGCGAAGTAGTGACGAGGCTAGACCAGACTACCAAACAAACCTGTGCAGTTCAATATATATGTATGCAATATAAAGGTATATAGAAATTAACCAGTCAAGGGGGAGGGGGAGCATGCTGTAGGGGCTGTAACAGTTCAGGTATAAAATCAATAATTGAGGAATGAAACAGTACAACTACAATAGCAACGATAGTAGGAAATCAACAGTTGCACGGCACCATCCTTCGTGCTTTTACTCTCATTCTCACCCAAACAATCATATAAAGTGCACGGCATCACCCTTCGTGCTTTACCTCACAAAATGATGGCACGGAATGACCCTTCGTGCATAAACACTCATATCATGGCACGGAATGTTCCTTCGTGCATTAGTAATCAAATCAGGGCACGGAATGTTCCTTCGTGCATTAATAATCAAAACAGGGCACGAAATGTTCCTTCGTGCATTAGTATTCATATCACAATCGTGCACGGCATCACCCTTCATGCTTTATCACTCGTCCTCATCTAAACAACAATCACAAACAATGGGGCGAGGGGATAGACAAACAGTAGTAGAAGTCCCGGCAAGGGAAACACAAGTAAACAACTAAATCCCGGCAAGGGAACAACAATAATAACTTTCACATCCCGGCAAGGGAGGTAATCAATATACGAATACGGCCCGGCAAGGGAATAATCACATTTCTTTCTCTTTCTTTCTTTTCTTACTCAATAATTACTTTATCATTCGAGCCAACGCTCCAAAGAGTTCACAAATCATAATTCTTTCTCATACTCTTCACATTATATAGAGTTCATCAATTACACGAGGAAGAGTCACAACAAAATAGGAATAAACACAATATATGGACTCACGGTCATGCTAGACACCAGTGTATAGATACTCGTCACCATGCCTATACACTGTACTCGGTCAATTAGCAGATAGCAAACAAGACTCAATTCCTATTCCCTCAAGCTAGGGTTAAACCAAACACTTACCTCTACCTCCCCAGCTAAATTAATCCACAACGACCGCCTTGCCTCTCGAATTCGGCTCCAACTCAATCAAATCTATAATATAACGACTTTTCAACATTAATATAAGCTAAACAAATCAAACCCAATGCCTAAATATAGTTTTCTAAGCTTTCTTCCCAAAATTCCAAAAATCGAATCCGGTCCTGCTTGGTCAAAACCCGAGGTTCGAACCAATTTCATATCAGCCATTCCCCCATTAGCCCGAATATACAATTTGTTTTCAAATTCGACCCCAAAACGAGGTCTAAATCAAAGAAGATTGAAAAGCCCTAACTCTACCCATTTTCCCCCAATTTCAACCCTATATTACATGATTTGAGCCTAAGAATTTGATAAATGATGAAGGAAAATGAAGGAAACAAGTTAAATAATACTTACCAAATAAGCTTTGGTGAAGAAGAGCTCTAGAAATCGCCTATGGGCTGTGGAGAAGATGAGTTCGTGTGTTTTTGGGTGAAAAATCCCGTCACTGTTCTGTTTTGGGTATTTAAAATCACTGGGCGAAATTGCCCTTCGCGTTCGCGGGAAGTGGATCGCGTTCGCGAAGGGTTATCAGAAAGGGCAACGCGAACGCGGACGGTAAGACGCGAACGCGTAGAAGGAAAAAGGCTGGGGTCCTGGGATTGGTCTACGCGAACGCGTGGACCATAACGCGAATGCGGGGAAGGAAAAAGCAGAGCTTCGCGATCGCGGTGGTATGCACGCGAACGCGAAGAAGAGAGTGAAGCTGGGCCCTCATGGTCACATAGCCTTACGCGTTCGCGAGGACTCGAACGCAAACGCGAAGAAAGAAGGACACGAAGCTATGCGAACGTGATGGTAAGAGTGGGATCGCGAAGAAGGAAATCCCTGGGCAAAAATATCAAATTTTTCTGCAACTTTTACTAAGTTCAAAAATACCCCGAACCACCTCCGAAACACTCCCGAGCCCTCGGGGCTCCTAACCAAACACACACACTAACTCAACCACATCCTACGAACTTAACCGTGCAATTAAATCACCAAAATAACATCAAAAACGAGGAATCAAACCTCAAAATCATCACCTTTTTCATCAAACTTCATAAACTTTCATTTTTAGATATTTAGGTCCGGAACACGTCAAATGACGTTCGATTCCAACCAAATTTCACAGGAAGCGCT